GCACCGTCGCCGTCGCCCGGGGCTAGGCGTGGACACAATTTCGCCGCCAGCGCACACGATCTCCTCGCGGAACACCAGCCGCTCGGGCAGCCCCTCAGATCAGCGATCCTGCGAGATCGGCCAAAGCCGACGCTGGAGCGACACGATCTCGCGAACGGCGTCGAATTAGTGGAGTTCCACGACAGCCGAGTCAGATTATGATGCCGCAGCCGCATGGGACGCCGTGTTGCGCTCGCCGAAAATAAGTTCAACATGAGCTGCTTAGCCTCTGCTTGAAGACTCTACAATAGTAGCTTAGTTTAATTAAACTGACCATGAGTCTTCTCCCTTACTTTGGCTAGACATGGGAGAAGCCGGTCGGTACTCTCGGCAGCTGCTGGTACATGGGGCGATGGCTCAGGTAATGTACTGAATGAGAGGCTCAGCCATACTGATGCACAGGCGAAACTGCGGTCATCGTCGGTACTCGTGGTCGGCGCCGGGGCTTTGGGGTGTGGATGCCTGCCGTATCTAGTCAGGGCGGGCGTGGGACAGATCACGGTTTGCGACGGTGATACGGTTGAGCTGAGCAATCTGCACCGACAGATTTTATTTCATGAGCTGGACATCGGGAGAAACAAGGCTGAGGTGGCAGCCGAACGTCTAAGGTCATCAAACTCAGGCGTAGATATAATGGCCGTACCACGACACTGCGGCTACGACAAGCAGACGATAATGCGAGTGAAATCGCATGACATCATCGCTGATTGTAGTGACAACGTTGGAACGCGTTACTTTCTAAATGACGCGTGCCTCCTCGCGGGAAAAATTCTGGTTGTAGCTGCAGCTTTAGGAACAGAGGGTTCTTTGACGCGTTGGAACTATTCGAGCGGACCGTGTTATCGGTGTGTGAGTCCAGCACCCTCGCATCACGAATCGCATCGACAGTGCGCTGATGATGGCGTCCTTGGTCCTGTTCCTGGTGCGCATTTCGCGTAAATACTTGAGAGGGCTAGATAGAACTGAGCACTTGGTATAGGCGCGCTCGGTGCGCTGCAGGCACTTGATATCCTGCACTGTCTTTCAGGTCTGGGAAACACAGGTTCCGTGCTCAGAGTCTTCGATGGTTTTTCACTGCGTCCCTTCAGATTGCCCCCCAAGCGTCGGAACTGCGCGCTGTGTGGCGTTGCCCCGAGTTTAGTATCCCTCGCCGATTCGGAGAAATGGGCCCAAACCCAGGGTCTCGACATTAGTTCGAACAATCGGACGTCAAACCTGTGTCCTACTCAGCTACAGCTGGTGAATCCCTTTGTTTCAGGTATCGTCCTGGCATTATTCGCGCGCCTTCACTTCCACCGCTCCCCGCGCACAACACGGCGACGGCCCTTGACCTTAAAGCCGCGATTAATAGCTCAGCTCCCTGCCTGATCATTGACGTCCGCAATTCAACCCAGTTCTCCATCTGCAAACTTCCGAACGCTATCTCACTCCCCCTACGAGGCATCCTTCAACAGCCCAAAGTCGCGAAAGAAAAATTGCAATGCGCCATAACCAAGCAAGACACTGTCCTGTTTATTCTTTGCCGTCGCGGTATCGATTCATGTTTTGCGACTCACACGCTCCTCAAACTCGGCTTTGAAAATGTTCGGGACGTCGTCGGTGGTCTTGACGCCTGGCGCCGAAAGGCTGATCCTACATTTCCACTTTACTGACCATTTAATACACCCGACGAGACGCGTCGCCCACCACCTCAAGCCACGGTTGCTTCGGCACCCGCCTTTGGGAATCCAGAGGCCATTTGTTTGACGCTCAAAAAAGCAAAGTTTACGCATGTTTTGATGGCTTCGGACGAAAGCACGCGGTCTCGGACGAAAGCACGCGGTCCGCGAACCTCGAGGAGACACGCGATGGACATGTAATCACCAAAGGCAGCCCCCTAGCGCCGCGCGCCTACCACGGCGCCCATGGCCCCCGCGGCGACTCTCGAGGCGCGCAACAAGGGCTGCACGCCGCAAAAGAAGCGACGCGAAACGAATCGCGTCTCGGCAAGAACGGGTGGTTTTAGGGGGTCCTGTGGGTCGTGATCGGGCCACGCGACCCGATTTTGGCTGCCTCGGACGCGATGCAGCGTCGGAGATCGTTCATAGACACCCCGGGTGCCTTCCGTCGCGCGGGTTTGGCCGTGGAGGCCCAGGTCGCCGATAGAGAGTGTCCCGAGGTTGTGCGCCGCGGCCTCGCGCCGCGCCGTCCCGGGGCCGGGGGTCGACAAAGTAGCGCGAACTAATGTGCCGAAGTCGTTCCTGGTACCATGAGGCATTCAAAAACGCTCGAAGTTCGCTCTACTTTGTCGAATCCAGTGATTCAATCCACCCCTCCAGCCCACCGCCGCGAGCGCGGACGCAGCGTCGCGTAACTCGGCAAAGACGTCATGAAATAGGACCGCGTCTTCGACGACGCAGCCCCCAGGGCGCGGGCCGAGCGGCCGGCAGTTGGGCGGCACGGGGCTGCCGAGCGGGGGGATTTCTCCATAAGACCGAATACAAAAGCTCCTTTTCGTACTACTCATGGGCGAGAATTTACTGAACATTTTATTTGGTGAGGAAGCCCAACCGTGGCCGACGACGCAGCCGCACGTCGCGCAGCCTCGGCAGGTGCACCGAGGCGCAAAAAACCTTCGCGAAGGCCTGCGCGAACTCGCTCGAGTGGCACTACAAAGCGGCGCAGCGGGCCGGCGCGCCGCCGCCGCGGCCGACGATCCTGGAGAGCGACAGCAAGCGCCCAGGTTGGTACGAGCCGCCGGACGCGACGGCCGCGCCGCCGCGCGTCGAGAGGCGCGCCGAGGCGACGGACATGCAGAATCAAATCGACGCCGTCGAGTTCGGGCTGAAGCAGCTCCGCGCGTCGGCCGACGAGCCGCCGGACGCGAGCGTCCTCGAGAGGCTCCGGAAGACGACGCGGCGGACGACGCGGCGGACGCGAAGACCGGCGCGCGCGGCGACGCGTCCGACGGCGGCGACGGCGGCGGCGCGGGGTCCCAAAGCGCCCAGGACGGCGGCGAGTAGCCTGGCGACATTTTGGCTGGCGTAGGCGATCCGAAGTCACTCATGCTGAGGACCGGGGGGCAATACGGTCCAAGCACGACTTTGGAACGAGCTTTTGTCCGATTGGCCTCGCGATTTTAATTGCATGAAGTTTTATACGTGTGGCTATCAGCAGAACCCGCTGATAATAATGGTGAAAAAGTGCCGCAATAAAAATCGGGTGGCCAGGTAACTTCTGTCGGACAATAAGATTCTGTTTGAACGGTGTTGCCCCCCGGTCTGAGGTGGCCGCGCCATCCAAGCGCGGCCCATCGGCTTTTATTTCTGGCATTCCTTGATCCAATCGAGCTCAGCCCCCTAACGGGGGAGTTAACTTTGCTTCCTTTAGCTAAGATAGTGGGAGATACGAAAGGCCAAGTGGACGGAAGCGATTTAAATGGCGCTCCAGCCCCAGGCTTCACCCTGGACTTCACACCAACTCACAAAGGATTGCACTCGGGGCCCATCACGCGCCTGTATTGATGCACTGCCCCGCAGCGCACAAGGTTCGCATGCATGAGTGTACAGAGAGCGGGGCAAGCACGATTCTTGTGTTTCAGGCGCTGTCACACGGTAGTCCTACACTGCTTGGGATTGCCCCTGAGCCTGGTATCCGACCGGGGTCAATCTTGGTTATTCAGCCTGTATTGAAATCAATAGATGGAAGCTGTCCAACGAGACAAAGGCTAACAACAACACGCAATGCTCACATATTCTAATAATATGTCGTGATGTAACCGGGCTTCTCATAAATATCGAGCGTGAGCGCACAGCGACCAACAGTATGGGCCTAAAGCGGTTCACATGAAACGCGAAGATTGGAATTGCGACAAAGACGGTCATGACAGCTCGCTCAATGCAATCCGGATTTGGATTGTAGTGCGATGGTCCAGGGACTGGACTTCGCGGTCGCTTGCCGCGGAGCTGTTGGAGAAACTCTGATAGTGACACATAGCCTTGAGATTTGGGATCTGAGAGCTTCCAAAGGCTGAGGAGGTCCATTTGTGTACTAGATGGAAACAAGACCTGCGCTCGTCGAATTTAGTTGGAATTTCATATCTTGTGGTACTAAATTTCATAACTTATCTTGATACTTTAAAGATTGGATGTTAGACTTCAACAAAAATCCCCAGTATAATTCGCTCGATAGTGCCAGCATTAGCTGATCACATAGTTCACCATAGGCGATGCCCTTTCTAGATGATCCTTTGAGCAACACAAAGAAAGCTCGATTCAAGACCTGAACAAATTCAAGCCGCGCAACCTTGTCATGTAGGATGAGCTGTAACTTGTCAATCAAAGCTAGGTGTTTGTGGGAGTGGGCTGGCACGTGAGCATCGCTGCTGGAAACCTGTGTTAGTCCAGTAAATATTGAATTTGTGGGGTAATTGGCTTCAGACAAGACAGCATACTTTGAGTGCCGGGTGCGTATCAAACGAGCTGAGGTTAATGTCCAAAAGTTGTAATGGTGCCTCGTTCAGGCGTGCCAGCGAAACGACTTCCGACATATCCACAGCGCCTTTCTCGTCCACCTCGGAAACAGCCGCGTTCAAGATAGAGCGCATGCATGGTCGAGCTTCATATGATGTACTTGCAGATAGATAACGCAAATGTGCGAGCTTATTGTTACGAGCGCCGTCGGCGTTATGGGCGAATGGTCGATGTTTGGCTGCATTTAGCCGACGAAATTGGCGATGCGCATATCTACTCGTGTTGACGTCCTGTGGACCTGTTATAGATGGGAAGAATTCTACGTCACGAGACCGATGATCACGGAAAAGGTGAAAGATGCAGCGCTCATGCGGCTCAGAGAACTCGGATGAGTTCAATGACACCTGGACTAGAGAGGGTCCGGACTGGCGGCCAAGCAGCCATGGCATAATAAAAGAAACCTCCGTGTCGGAATGATACCTTGAGAGCAGTTAAAATATGATGAATTTAGGCGGTAGAGGACACCGCGTTTCGCCTACATCTGACGGCAATAGGTCGCATTTGTGCCGTCTTGTTTCCAACGGAAGTTAACGGCCAAACTGAATCCAGGCCTGACATCGCCACATCATTTCTCTGCGAAGTTGACCGGTGATCTAATACCGCACCGCGTCGGCGTTTCTTTTTTGAACTTAGCAGCCTGGAGAGTTCTAAAGAACGCGAGGAAGCCGCGGTGGCGTAGTCTATAGCAGTTGGCAATGGAATGATACGAGCGGTGATTGAGTTTGTCTTCAGAAAACCGTTGCCGATCAATTTCACCTTATATCCTCCACTGAGAGCACCAGAATGAGGCCGCATGTGACCAAGCTTTGGGAAATGGTCATACAATAGAAATAACAATGGCCTCCCAGTGAAAAGACTGCCACCAAGGGTGCATACATCGACCCAGAGGCTTACTATGCTATTGTTGACATTTGTTCTCTCAGACAAAAATCTCCGACTTTCTTCCTTCAGCTCGGCAGCTCGGACCAGAGAATCACTTTTCTGACGTACGGCGTGTGATTCACTGTTGATGTTGGACAGTAGCTGCTCAAAGGGGGGTAGTCGGCACTTGATTGTTGTGGAGCTTTCACAAACTGCCGATACGGTACAAAGCTTGCGACCAACGCTTTCTTGAGATGGAAATTTCCCAAGAGCTAAGGAGAAGCGCACCTTAATGTCAACAGGTCGGCTGGCGAAGTTTTGACCATGAATAAAGATTGCAGTGCCTCCAGACCGTGGGCCACAAGAGGGTCTGAGAGAAGTCAAGATCGGACTTTTGTTGACTTTATAGAAGATAGACCCAGAATAGTCATGACCACCATTCATCGAAATAGATATCCTCACGTCACGGCCGCTAGGAAGAGTAGGTGGGGCAAAACATCTGATGACCTGGGAGTCTTGTATATCACCATTCACCTAAACGTATGGCATAGTCAATTCACAAACACACATGTGAAACGCACATCGAGTGTTTCGATTTTCAGATCGCTTTCTACAAATGGACCCGCCTGTACAGACGAACACACGCGCAGATTTGTGTTTGACAAGGGGCTCTCAAATCGAATCATGGCCTGTCTAGCCAAAGGAAACTGACCTCCAAGTAGCTGCAGGGTATCTGTGTAAGGTCCACGGGTGAAGAGTACTCTTTGTAGCCAAGGTGGCGCATAGAAGTAGTATGTCAAATGTAATTTCGTTTCGAAAAGGGTACTATCGGGTGAAACTACGAGTGCCACATTGTTATCCCGAGGGAGGCTAGCGATGCTGGTTGGCGTGTGTATTTCAGTCGTGAGTGAAGAATTTAATCCACTGGTGGTTTGACTTCCCAAGTCTTGTTCAGCGTCGTCGTGTTCCTCATTTAATAGCCCACTTGATATCGCTGCAGCTGCAGCTGCAGCATCTTCAGCTCCAATGCCCAGTTCGAGTAACAAATGAGCTATTCTAATTTGCCTCAGCCTATGAAAATCCATAGTCTATGGCACAACACATAGACTCTGGTTCAACTTCTCCGTAGGAGCCCACTCGAAGTTAGTCCCATCAAAGGATATTACGATGTCTACGCCGGCATCAAAAAGAACTGAAGGCGTGACGCACGAAATACTCTTCGTGGAAGTCACCAACCCAATGACGCAAGAACACGGTAGTCCGCCATTCGCAAGGGCGCGGAGTGAGTGCCCTCGTGAAGCGGCTTGAATTTTTCGTGCAGCAGCATGAGACTCCAAAGATGCAATGTTGACATCTATAAAATGTCCCGTGATGTTACGCCCACGGAATTCTGCCGTTTGTGTATTCGTCGGGAGGGTGCTCGACCCAAGGCACAGAAATGCTACAATGCAAATCTCGCCGACAATGGGGAAACTGTCTCCATAGATGGTCAGGTTGGTCCCTCCATGTGTCGGCCCGAGCGATGGCTCGACATGGCTAAAACTGTGCGGCGTTACAAGCTGCACCTTTCGGCTCGCTCGTTCAGTCCAATCCTGGCCATTAGGTGAAAGCTCGATATTAACTTCATTTATCAAGCAGTCAGGTTCTACAAGCATATATGAACTTCTCGGGTTTATTGCATTGTCAACAGTCCCCGTCCGCTGTCGCAGACGCGAAGTTCGCCTCACGAGGGTTTCTGCAGCTTGCTTAGTCAGTCCAGATCGTGAGATTTGACGGTCACCCAGGCGAAACTGCCCAGCCGGTCGCTTGAACTTTTCTGGGGCCCGACTAGGAGAAGTGATTATCCGCTGCGATGATATTCTACCCAGCTGTTTCCGGTAAGGCTCTGCGAGGTCTGACAGCTGCCGGACTAGTGAATTTCCACTGCGCTTCAACGACTCAGTGCGAGACAACTGGCGCAGCAAGTGGCGCTGCGGGCTGCTGGACATCTGGCGGCGGATGGAGGCACGTCGAAGCCGCGAAGTCTTCTCTAGATGAGAATCCAATTCACATGAAGGCGGAGGCATGTGCTCTGCGTCCAAGCGCCGCCTGGTTTCTTCCACGACGGGCTGAGAGTGAACCCATAAGTGGAGCTGCCTGCTATTGCTGGTGGATGGCAAATTTGACGCAATCGAATCCATCTGGGATTGGTTCCTTTGCGGGGGGTCGATATTTGCAATCTCTCTGGGGAACATGGGTACGTGACGGGCCTGCCGGTTGAAATACCTGCGACGCACGAAGAAGGGCATCGCAGCGCATACCTGAGTCATAACCTTATCAGGATCGGCGTCATCTCCACCAGGTGTTGCACTTCCAACAACATTTTCGGCTGTCCCATTTGGTTTTCTATTCAGCAATTTGTACGACAAGACTAGCCGATCAAGGGTGCGCACATGGCCAAAATGCGAGGTCCCTCCTTCGGGTGCGGCAAGGAGGCTCATATGCAGGGTGAGTGCTTTGCTGCTGATGATTGAGTGTCCTTTCAATGAGAGGACAGAGTGGCCAGGAACAAGGTGATCTCCCGCCGGTAAGATGGCCTTGAGGGTCACAGGTCTTACATACTCGTAGAGAGCATTATCAATAGAGAAAGGTCCATCTGGACCACTAAACGATACCTCCACGGTCGCGCTGAAGGAAACTGCATTCATGAGTAGAGCAAGCGGACAGGGTGGCGTGCGGCATTGGACTACAGAATCTAGCCCAAGGGTTTTCACAGCATTTTCGGCAGCGGCGATCCCCACTGCTGTACTTGGGTGCAACGAGGATCCCGTCCTACTGTCAGGGTCAGAAATAGATGCTGATTCACCAGCGTGGACCCGGTCAAACATCAAGGACTCCCCAGCACCAGCAAGGGCGGAAAATGCCGAAGCTCCTGCTGAGCAGGCGTTTGCGACCTGGGCCGCGCTTAAGCATGCAAGCGTCCCATTCACAATCGTGCGATGTAGAACTCTCCCCGTGGCTGGACTCGCTAGTTTGAACAAAACGCTCGCCTGAATATTTGGAGTCTCATGAGGCAAACTCAGGACTTTCTCGTTCCCAAGCCGAACGGACATTGTACGTCTGATACTCTTACTTTTTGATTGGACCGGCGCAGAAGGTGATATATTCTCACTGTGATTCATGTGACCGCAGGCGTTGTTACTGGTGGCTTGGCGCGCCGCGAAATAAGGAGGTGGTTTGGACGCATGTGGTAAAAATGATTGTGTACGAGCCAAGCGTGAGTTGCCTTGAGACAAAGTTTGAGTTGGATCCCTGGACTCGGACGCCGAACCTGCGTCGTGCACTTGCGGCACACGAGAATCCTTCTCTTGACTCAAACTCAGTGCACGGTCGAAGCCTAAGCCGGAGATGCGCAAGAGTGTCCCGCCTGTCGCTTCGCCGCATACAGGCCAGACACCACCCACCTACAGAGGTGAAATGAGTGGTTTTACTTTATCAGGTGCATACCGTGAAGAGATGGACTTGCTTTCCTTCCTTACCCGATTTCGAAAATGCCAAGTGCACTGAATGTAAGGGAAGGTTGGGTGGCACTATACAGGTTATTCTCTTTGAATCCACAAACTGGGTAAGGGCCTTGATGAAGCAAGGGTCTGAATTGCCCGGCGCAATTTCAGCCAATAATCGTCCGCGGGGTTTGGGTGCATGCTTGTGTAGTTTTAGGTTGATTAAGCTGTCTGTACTGCCCGCGCCTTGGAGTGAACTCGTTTGTGCGCAGGAATCTGTGGCATCCACATTTTGTCTGAGATAGAGGCTCAGAGTACCACGAACATCAGCGCGGTGCAAGTCAATAACACCACTGCGAGCGTTACGGCTATTTGCATGGAAAACTGCAGTATGGGATGCCACCATAGCTACGCCCTTAGTACCACCAGTTGCTCGCACTGCGTCTGTAACCATAGCATCTATATTTTCAAAGTCGGTTCCAGATGCTGCAGTGATGGAGGCAGCCCCTGCTGCGGCCGCAGCTGCGGCGCAAGTTCCACCAGCAGCCCTCACTTGCATAGCAACAGCAAACGCCGGCGCAATACCCGGCTTCATCGCGTGCCTCGTTAGGGTTGAATATGTGGTGGCGGCCGGGACAAAATCATCGACCTCGATGCCACACTTTTCCATTGGAGAGAAGAAGAACATTTGCAGAGCACTGTCACTTTCGCGAGCAAAGTCTCCTATCAAGGAAATTGTTCCACCTGATGAGTTAGGTGCAAGGAGAGGAAATAATCCCCTTAAAGTAGGGTACGAACAAAATCGGAATGAAAACGAGTTCGACCACAGAGTTGCGTTCCCAAAGTCAAAAGCAACTCGCAGCTTGGCCACTTGTGCATGAGACACATGTGGCGTTGTGAAAATGATGATTCCGTCGTCAGCTAGTGTCCCTGCTGTTTCTAGGACCTTCCCATCTTCCATTTCCAGGCAAACTCTCAGCGAAGCTTCGAGCACGTGCTTGAAACCAAAACCTCGGAGTTGGATCTCAATTTCACGCTCTATCAAAGACGAACTTGGAATTGCTTCCCTTATCATCCACTGATTTTTGTCGAATGCATGGACCTGCTGATAAGAAGATCCTAGGCGCAAGGAACGTGCTCGAAGTATCTCCTCTGGTTCCGGTGAAAAGGCAGATTTAATTGCCTGATTTGATCGCGCTACGAGATTAATCAGTAGCCGACCCTCCATGTTGTGCTTACCAACTCTGACACTGCAAGATCGGAACGCGTACACCCTCGTACTCTGTGTATTCGCTATGAACGACGACCGCTCAGATATTACAATGCGCATATTTAACTCACACATGACACAGCAATGATGACATGGGTCGAGATGTATTGAGAGAAAGTCAGCTCCAGCGGTAGAGTTCGAACACGACTTACGCATGTGAGCTTCACTAATCGGAATGCAACCATGTGCAAGAGTCTCAGACACAGATGGTGTAAATATTGTATCGTACAGAGGGAGTCTTTGCTTCCTTGAGATGATATTTACCTCGATTGCGCTCGACATGAAATCATCTAGTAGATTAGACGCCACTGGAAGATATAACTGTTTAGCTGTGCCTGTATTTTTGCTTGTAGAAGTGTCAATTAGCTCGAAGATGCCTGCCTTAGAGGCCGATGCTAGTTTTATGCCAAGTGTTTTAACTTTCATACTGCAACTGGTGGAGACCTTAGGATTCAGGCACCACAGAGGACCAAGCGAAGATATCTGGATCGATCTCTGGCAATTTACACAGAATTCTACATCCATGTTGGACAACGCGAGTTGATGGACCGATTCACCAGATTTCGAAAGCGTCAAAGAGATTCTGTCGACAGCGAATTCAATAGTTTTGCTCATTGATGTGCGGGTATGCTGTTTTTGTAGAACAACCAGACTTTGCAACATCTGGATCTCATCTTGTCTCGGTTGGGACAATATGACCGCAAGCTGGGCTCTCACACGTGAGTTCTCACGTTGGCTACCATTGGTAAGAGGCAAACCCGAAATATTCAGTGACCAGCATTTCGGCATAACGTCAGGAAATTGGCCTTGGTTCGGAAGCAGTGGTTCAGAGGAGGAGCACAACACCACCAACCCAGCAGTGTCTGTCGAGTTTAAGACCGGCGGTAGCGTGCGAATAATCGAGAACGAGGGAATCACGCTCAATTCTGAACCGGAATCGACAAAGTGGCTTCTATCGAAGCTGACGGAAACACGTGCTTTGTCACAGTTTGGTACAAATGATAAATGAGCCTCCAAGTATGCTGCCACTCGAGTCACACCATCACATGCTTCAGTAAATTCATGAGATGATGTTGGGTATAAATGCGCACCATATTCTTGTGTTTCATCGAGACCGTTCCTAAAGAAAGAAACCCGAACACGAAGAGAAGAAGAAGCGGATAAGCATGGTAAAATAGAACGGAACCATGCTGAGTCACGAATTGCAAGCACAATGCTCGAACCGTGATAAGTTTGTATTGTTCGGGGTGCAATGAGGAAAAGATCAGAAGGCGAAACTTTGCCGTGTGCGACTTTGACACTGAGGTGCTCACTCTCTGTTGGAAATTGACCATCGGCTGATGCTGTAATTCGTATCACAGAAGAAGCATCCTTCAAAATTGCTGGAAGCTTACAATTAACAATTGCGAGGTGCAAATGACTACGTGAAAGCTTCGATTTTACGACACTCTCCAGTACCATATCGCTAACAGCAGATTGGCCACGAATTCGCACGTAACACGTCTGCTGCCAAACATCCTTTGAGACGACGAGCAGTTGAATTTGATCACCAGACCTCGCTAATCTTGGTTCTATCGAGATGATCTCCATGCACTTAAGAGGAAGGAAATGACTGATAGATTTCGGACTTGCGGGGATTCATCATCTCGACTTATTAGGGCAGTTACTATGTCAATTGAATAGATAAATCGTCATCCTTTTTATCCGGGTCAGCCAAGTCCGCCAACGCTTCAGCTACCGCGAACCGCGCGTGGGACCACCCGGGGGCTTTCGAAACGAATCGAAACACGGCTTTCGCGCGTCAACGCGCGCGTCTCGGCGGAGGCCTCCCTGGCCCAGTCCCAACATCTCCGCCCAATATGGCATATTTTCCCGCATCTGACTGCTCTTCATAGCCCCCCCCCCCCCGTGTGAGACGAGACGGACAGTTATTGCGTGCGCGAAGCTTTAGCTGTTGTTATCATTTTAAATGTTTCTTTGTCTCACAGGTGGCGGTTGAGCTATCTAGGCAGCTTGTTCCGGACTGGGCAGGCCATATAGCGAGAGTCACTGCCTTGGTCAGGCGGACGCAAACTTTCAGGTGTTCCTTGCCAGGGGATGGAGACTATGGTCCTGCTGTTGGTCGACCCTGCAGTGAGTCTTCTTCGACAGAGAAGGGGCATGTAGATGACTCGCGGTGAACTTGTCCCCAGGGGACGAGGCGGAAATTTCCTTCAGCAATTGACAGCCGCTCGTCAGTAGGAAAGGTGAGTTTGGAAACGATCACATCGTGGGCATCCATGTCAACCTCATACGCATATCCTGCACCCGAGGGATCCCAGTCACGGGTCTTCTCTAGAGACGGGAAGGCGAGGAGGAAGCGCCCATTAGAAAGCTTTCTTGCAGAACCACCGTCAACAGAAAATGCATCGTGCGTCATAGCATGTTTCCACACATCGGCCTTGGACTCAAGGTGTGACGATGGGTTTTGAAGACCAAATGGAAATTCAAATTGCCAGGCTACAGAAACAATCGAAGCCAACGGATCGAGCTTATACATGATGGCGCGGGAGAAACACCCCCTTTGAGTGGATAGTGTGCAACCCGGGCGATTGGAACCACCATCGATCATGAGGATGTTACCATTCGGGAGTTGAGTGACGTCTAATGGGGAAAAAAATTTGTCAGCGTCTGAAACAAAAGTGAAATCGGAGATAGTTTCATCTGGCGAAAGGGTCCACTGTTTGCCAGAACCGTCGTGGGCGAGAGAGAAAACTGCATCCAGGGATTTGGAGGCAACTATGTAATTGCTAAAGGCGCCAGGCGATACTGAGGAGATCTGGTGGTAGTCTATCGGATTTGCCGAGGCACCGCCTGAGCAAGCGACATTTGTGATTGTCTTCCACCCGGCAGAAGCTGGCATGTATGATTCAGGTTCCAAGAAGTTCGACATCTCATAAATGTCTTCTATAGAGCTGGTCTCTGAGTTGTACCTGGAGATCTTCGACATGGCAAAAATGTCATGCTTCGTTATTGCCGTCTCATTTGGCGCAGATCGGGCGAGGACGGTAATGTTGGGTATCTTGACGACATCGTATGTTGTAGTCAGCAAGTCGCGCGCATGCAGCGGCGAAGAGTGGTCTACACGGCACTCCGCAGCGAGGGCGTTATAGTTCACTGGCGCTCCAGAGCAAGCCATCTTGGTCTGCGATTGCATGAGACCGTGGACATCTACAATCTGGAATTGGGAATTCTCCGTGTAAACTGAACCATTCCGTGAGTATTCGCGCCCTTGATCTGTACAGGACGCCGCCGAATTAATTATTGCAACGTTTTCACCTGGTGTAAAATCCCATGCAACTGGAGAGCAAGTATGATAGTACCAAACAACCCAACCTTCAGCGTCGACCGCGACAATGCCCTCAAACGACATCGTCCCACCGGCCAAACCTGAGCCATTCACCACAATTCCAGGAGAAACAGCAAATGTTGCCATCTCAAATGAGGGGTTTGAGCCACCCAGATGCAAATACGGTGCTTCATCGAAACGCGGGAAGCCAGTACCACCGGTTGTAAAGTCTCCGGCGTATTCCATAGTCGCGTATTCATCACCTAATACCTGGACGTAAATAGTGTAGTCATACACGGTCTTGGGTCGAAGTCGATACATCTCGAGTTCCCCGATGGTCGTCTCGAGAGGCGTGGTCATCTCTATCATCAGTTTCTCAGTCCACAAAGAAGATAGAGTGGACCCCCGAGGTGAATATTTTGCCGTGACCAACGCCTTTTTTGAGTACTGTAGGAGTGCCCCCGACATGGTGTAGTGCAAAGTCGCCCGCAAAGGCATCAATCGTGACATGTCCATCGTCACGGACGCGCCAACAACCATAGATCTCGAAGTCGTCTTAGCCATTGAACACTCAGAATCAGAGCTAGTAATCACAGATGCCTTCAGAGCGGGTGTCGCGCCGGGTGTTACGAACGCAAGGAAACCCATCGCGGAAACACACGCCGCGGAGACCACGACTGCAAAAAGGGCCACGCGGCCTATCCCGTGTGCGTGGATGTCGCCTCGACGGTTGCTCGCCTCCGTCAAGGCATGTTGGTATCTCAAAATCTCTTGACCACACCCCGCCCCGCCATATTTGGACTTCATCGAAAAAAGCGTAGCCCAAATTTGGGGATCTGTAAGGATACCTCAGATGCGACAAAGGGGGGTGTCGATATTATCTTGCTGGACCTAGTGAGGCAGATCCTCTGCCCGTTCGTCCAGTAGCCCCGGCCCCCGTATACCACGGCAGCTGAGGTGGCGTGAGGATAACAGAGACGCCGGTGTACCGCCATTGCGTAACCTCGATAGTTCACCCTCGGACGGCAGGGTAGCCCAGCCCCATCATGCTGCTTCCCCGTCCCGGAGTTAGGAAGACTCTCCGTCTATTACAGTGCGGAAGCAACTATAACAGGGTTAGAAAGTATCAAGAAAAAGGGGAAGTAAGAAAAAGGGGAGGGATATAGGGTGGCTCTGTACCAGCGAGCCACTAGGGGGATACAAAACCTGTCACTAAGGAGCAGGTGGTGGAAGAGAGGGGCGGAAATCTATTTCTTATACTCTGGGCTCCTAGCGCTCGTTTCCCCACCGAGACCAGTCAAATATTGACGAAAAATGCCGCGTCCCGAAGCGCAGTCAAATATCGAAGGAGGAACATCAATACCACGGCCCGGCGCTTCCCAGGGGGTCCTTTGGGACTTCACCGATTCCTGCGACCCCTTGCAGAGCGGCCCATACAACCGTAGGGTCGCATTGGCGCTGCTTGGAGGTTAGCTTGTCGTGCTTTGCCACGAGGCCACTTTGCCTGCGCTCTGGGCGAATATGTGCTTCGTGTTCCCTCGTGTTCGCGATACGTGTAAATCAGAACACCTTGCCAAGTTGGCGGTGATCCCCATCGGCGCCGACAATATTGAAGTCTTGCCCTGTTGATCACACCGGGGGGGAGGGGGCTGGATATGCCGCCTCAGTTTCTGGAATCATAGGAGTCGTTGCTGTCCACCATGTTACCTGGGTCGCAGCCAAACAATGAGCCCGGGCTTTAAGTTGGACGTCCGTGATTTGTGCCTTTCACGTCGGTGTGCCAAGAACGGAGGAGTATACACTATTCACCAAGGGGAAAGTCAGACTCGAGTCTGGACGGGTGACCTCTTGGTTGAGGAGTATCCCGCCAAGACGAATCTTTGTGACACGCCAGCGCTGATAAGCACCCCAGACATGCAACGAGGCTTCGTCGGCAGCGTCTTCTTCCGTGGCTTCGAGGCCCCCACCAGGCGGCTGAATCCTCTTCTTATCAGCGTTCAGTGAGCGTATGGGTTCTTTCTCATCGACAATGTGATCAACCAGCGACTCTGAGGAAACAGCTTCCTTCTCACACGTTGTCTCGTGGGAGCCGTCGAGAGATGCACTGGTTGCACGCGTTGCACTCGCATTCCCGTCTTCGACAGTCCCGGTCATTTGTTTCGCGATAATCTCGTCAAAGCGGCGGGATGTCGATGGAAGGTTTTCCATTTTCCAGCCATTCTGCTTCTTCTTCGCCGACCGGATCGGTAGGATACGAGAGAGGCCACCAACCATCGTGGTCTAGCAGATCCCAGTGGAGGGACGCAAGCCGATCTTGTCACAACTCTGCGCAGGTCCAAGAGGCAGGCACAAAATACGCTAACTAATGTCATGTTGATCTGCGATGGGTGCTCTGAGATTGGGGTTAGGTAGTGGTAGTGGTAGTGGGGGTAGTGCCCCTGGAGCCGCTGGAGACCACTCGATTCCACCGGAAATATGCTTGTTTTGGCTCTATCGACCAGTTTGGATCTCGAACTCGAGCAAACTGGTGGTTTTGACGCTCGATCATAAATTTCGACCGAGTGGAGGTCGTGGCCGAGCAGCCCTCCAGCTGCCGATTGGCCAGAGCGGGTGGTTCACAGGCTTCGTTGACCCTATGTTGCAGCTGTTTTGACCACTTATTTTGAGCAGGTCGCGACTCAGGGGTAGTTAGCTAGTACTACATGCTGTCTGTTTATTGAACCTTAGAGGGGCCCCTGCGCGACGGTGCGTGCCGCGGTCCCCGGCCACGTCCCCGGCCCGTGCCCGGGCCGTGCCCGGGGCCCCGTGCCGGGCCCGTGCCGGGCCTCCCCGGCCCGTGCCCGGCCCGTGCCCGGGGCCCGTGCCGAGTGCCGGGCCCGTGCCGGGCCGCGTGGCCCGTGCCCGGCCCGTGCCCGGGGGCCCGTGCCGAGTGCCGTGCCGCGTGCCGGGCCCGTGCCGGGCCGCGTGCCCTGAGCGCATTTACCGTGCCGGAACCCCCGTGCCCGCCGTCCCCGCCCCCCGTCCCGGGGCCGGACCGTCGCGCAGGGGCCCGTCCTTAGGTGCATACGACCGGTCGCACTCGAAAGCGATGTTATTAAATAGCTCGAAATAGGGATTGGAAAAGCAGCACCTGGAGCAGCAGCAACTGGAGCAGCAGCAACTGGAGCAGCAGCACCTGCAGCAGCACCTGCAGCAGCACCTGCAGCAGCACCTGCAGCAGCACCTGCAGCAGCACCTGCAGCAGCACCTGGAGAAGGCGCTCCGGTCGTCCGCAGCGGCGCCGCTAAAGGGAAGGGCATAAACCTGGAGCTGCTGGAACAACTGGAGCATGTGGAACGGAGCCCTATACTGGAACTAGAGCCGTTCTAGTTCGTTCTAGTAGGCCCCGCGGCCGCCGCCGGCGGTGGCAGAACCTCGCCCCCGATAATGTTGGGTCGGCAGCTGGGGGCTTTACTCAGGCGCCGGGGGGGCGGGCGGGCCCCAAACTAGAACGCGTCGAATTTCCCGCGGGCTGCCTATACTCGCCAGTGCGACTCGCCAGGTGGGGTGGCTAGAAACCTGCTATAACCGCGGGTCGGCCCCGTGCCTGCGGGTATTTGCGAGGGCAAGGGCGCGGGCTCGTGCGACTGCGAGCGCTGCAGCGACACTCTGCGGATGCTGGGTATCGGCTTGGACAGTACTGCCGTTATTCATAGGTGCGCTGAGGGAAACAGGTGCATAGGGACCAACAGCAGCGTTGCCCGCGGCCTGTGCCAGCATGACGAGAGGCGGAAGGGCTTGATTTGAAAAGCCTGTCGGTGCAAACTGGGGAACATGCTGGGCTGCTACGTCCTGTATCTTGGCGAGCTGCAGGAGGGGCATTATGTCAGTGACGCTAAGCGCCTCAGGGGGCGGGCGGGATGTGAACCAGCGGTCATGCTTGGCATCATCCGCATTGACACGACGTTCGGGGCACTTCTCGAGTAGCCTCGAGAGGAGGGAAAACCCAGAGTTATTCAGGCTCGTCGTTACATGGGTTAGCGGGGTTACAAGAGACATGGCGTTGAGAGGCGCATGGGTGCCATCAAAGCCTTTGGCAGGGAACTTGCGGCGGAGGTTGTCAGCCCCACCCTTCGGCAGGGGAGAGGATATCTGCGTTTGAGATTCAAAGTGAAAGCCACGTATCCGCGCGAGGTACCTTAAAGGGGGCGGCGCAGGGGGGGGTTGTCTAGGGAGGCGCGGGAGAGTTTTGAGGGGCGGGCATGGGATCTGCTTACGCGTATAGAGGCCATTCTTTATCAGAAGGTTCACCGAGGAGTTGAAATATCATGCGCAGCTGATCAGGTTCGTCTTTGCCAGCAAAAAGTACTTGTCTGAAAG